CTCTTTTGATGTCTATTTGAAGTAGGAGATATTTAAAAGTATTTTATTTTATTTCCAAATAGCCATATATTACTCATACATCTTTGATATTGATTTCTATTTCCTTTGTAGTCAGAGAATAGAGTTTGTATGATTTGAATTTTTTTAGATTTATTGAGATTTGTTTTATGGCCCAGAACAAGGCTTATGTAGGTAGAGTTCTCAAGTACACTGGAAAAGAAGGTGAAAAATATTTATTTTGGTGTGTTGAATGGAATGCTCTATCAATTTTAATTGTCTAGTTTGTTAATAGCATTGCTTAAGCCTTATATATCCTCAATGATTTTCTTCTTTTTTGTTTTTTTTTTCTTTTTAAAATTTTATTTTTATTGATATATAATAATTGTACATATTTATCTGGTACATAGTGATGTTTGGATACATATAATATATAGTGATCAAATCAGGGTAATTTTTTTTATTACTTCATATTATGGGGGTACAGATATTGTTAGCATTACATATCTTGCCCCTGCCCCCCTCCCCCACCCCGCTATGCCAGAGCTTCTAGCGTGTCCAGCCTCCAGGTGGTGCGCACCAACCCCCCCCCCATGTAAGTACATACCCTTCCCCTCCTTCCCCCTTCCCCCTGCCCACTTCCCGATTACAGATTTTTTTTTCAGACATTTTGGTTACAATGTATATCTTTACCTCTCCCTAAAAAGGGATAGAGGTAATCCCTTCCCCCCAACAATGCTTGCCACTTCCTTAAGATGTGAGTCTCCCCCGCAAATCTCTGTTGAACATTACCGTTTTTGAGCACCATAGTTTTAGTCAGTCAGTACCAATTAGATGGTGAGTAGATGTGTCTACTTGTTCTATCAATTATTGAGGAATGTGTTGTTACATTTTATTATAATTGTGAATTTGCCTATTTCTCCTTATAATACTACCAGGTTTTATTCCATGTGTTTTTAAGCTCTATTATTGGGTGAACATACATTTAGAATTATTGTGTCTCCTGATATATTGGTCTCTTTATCCTTGGTGATATTATTTTCTCTGAAATCTACTTAGTCTCATATTAATATAGTCATTCAAGCTTTCTTTTTATTAGAGTTAGCCTGGTGTGTATTTGTCAATGTTTTTACTTTTAACCTATTTCTGTCTTTATAGCTAAAGTCAGCTTCTCATTGGCAACATGTATTTAGGTCTTGCTTTTTTTAGCCAATCTGATAATCTCGTTCCTTCACTTGGGTAGTTTAGGCTATTTATTTAGTGTGATTATTTTAATGATAGCGTTTATATATGTTTGTGTTCTACTTTTTTAATTTGTTGTTTCCTTTTTCTTGCTTTGATTTTCTTTTAGCATTTCTGTCTTTATTGTTTTAGTAGCTATAACTCCACTTTGGGTTTTTGTTTGAATCATTGCTTTAAGGTTATCATATACAAATTTTAATTTAGTATAGTCTACTCTCACATAATATACAACTTTACATATAGCAATGTATGTAGCAATCATTACTCTCTTCCTGGAATTTGGGCTATTGTTACGTCAAAGAACAAATTTCAATAAGTTGAGTTTTAAAGATCTAACTGGGCTTTTCTTAGTGATTCATGAACCAAGCAGCATCCAATCTGAAAAATAGACATAGGCTCTGACAGGTATGGCAGAACAATCCATTTTTGTGAGGCATCTCAAGAAGGAACAAGGAAATAGCATAATGCAAAAAGCAGATGAATTAACCTCAGGTAACTTCTGGTTACTTTCCAAGGGTTAAAACAGAGAGGGCTTCTTTATCATGCTGGTTCAGGTTGTTTGGGCCCATTTTGATTGATTGCTGTGAATCCCCCATTTTTTTGGTGTTTTTGTTGTTGTTGTTTGTTTGTTTGTTTTTTAACTAGCTTGTTTTTAAGTTTAGTTTGATAACAGGACACCTAGCAGGAGTGAGTGACTCCATTCTGGTTTGGTCTGGTCTGTTGGAGCCTAATACAGGAGCTCAGTCCAAAACAATGGCCTCCTATAAATTTATTTAACAGTTGAAATATATTTTATTTCTACATATGTTATAGGCACCACAGTACAATGCTATTGGTTTGCTTAAAATAGTTATTTAATAAAGAGGTTTCAAAATTTAAAAATCTTTAAAGTTTATTTTATATTAGTATTTAGCCACATATTTAGCATTTCTAATGCTGTTCATTTCTTTATGTAAATCCAGATTTCATTTGGTATCATTTTACTTCTGGCTGGAAAACTTCCTTTACTATTTTGCTATTTATTATACTGACTATTGACTGGTGATGGATTCTTTTAGCTTTTTTATGTACGGAAAAAAACCTCTATTTCATCTTCCTGTCTGAAATATATTTTTTTCTGGGTATAGAATTCTAAGATGATCATTTCTTCCTCCCAATAGTTTTAAAACATTGATCCTTTGTTTCCTGGTTTGCTTTATTTCTGACAAGAAGCCTGTGCTCATTCTTTATACCTACTGTGCCTTTCTTATCTGCCTGCTTTTAAAACTCTCTCCTTATCATTATTTTAGACAATTTGATCATGGTGTGCTTTCATGTAGTTTTCTACAAGCGTCTTGTGCCTGGGCTTTGGTAATCGTCTTGGATCCATACAATTATAGTCCTCATCAAATTTGGAAGATTTTAGACCATTGTGTCTTCCCATATTTTCCTTTCTTTTCCTATTTTTCCTCTCTTTTGGGGTTCTAGTTACATTCGTAATAAGCTTCCTGAAGTTGTCCCACGACTCATCGGCTTACAGTTCTTTCTCTCCTCTTTCTTCTCCTCTTTCTTCTCTTCTCTTTCTCTATCCTTCTCTCTCTCTCCTTCTTTGCATACTTGGTAATTTTTAAATTAATGTTAGACATTATGAGTTTTACTTATTGAATGCTGTATACTTTTTTATTTCTATAAATATTCGTAAACTTTGCTATGATATGAAGTTAAATTAACTAGAAGTATTTCTTTTCCTTTCAAATCTTTCTTTTAAGCTTTGTTTTGGTTACCCAGACATTAAAACTCTGCCTGATGCCTCAATAATTGTGAGATTTTTCTCTCTGCTTATCAGAACTTAAAATCTTCCTGGCCTTCTGCAAGCTCCAAGAATTTTTTCCTCTGTTTCTCTGACACAGTGTTTTCCTTGGCCTTAGGTAAGTTCTTCACATGCACACGCTGACTAGTACTCATTTTTAATGACTCAACAATACCCTATGAAGATTCATGGTGCTCTCTCCATGTAGCTATTTTCTCTTCCTTACTCTACCCTTTTAAGTGTAGCTGCTTTGGCCTCCTGCAAATTCCAGCTCCGTCTTCTCACTCTAAAAGATACCGGTAATTAGGTTTTGCCTATATTTTTCTTTCTTGAGTTGCAGCCTAGAAACTCAAAGAAGTAAGTTAAGGACAATTTTAGAGTCTATACTACTTGTTTTCCCTCTCAGTTGCTACTACCCTGGGCTGCTTAATGTCCAATGTGTGAATGTGGTCCCTCTTACTCCACTTTCACCGAGCACACTTTTTTTTATTCATAAAGTAAGGGTCATACTATGTTATGAAACTTTTTATCTCATTTTTCTTCAGGCAGCAGGAGAGACATTCAACAAATATACAGCCTAGTAATGGACAGATACATAAGTTCTTGAGTTGGGGAGCCATTTTCCCATCCCACCTTCATTAGAATCTGACCACCACTTTTTGATATGGACAATTAATCTATTCCCAATCTTATTTAAATAATCATCTAGAAGCAGTTCTCAGGCAAATACTACCCTTCCCACTGTCCTGCCTCTATTCCTCCCCTAACATCCCAACGCTCCAAACAAGAGATTAACCATGAGGTCCTCTCGTAAGAATTCTAGCACTTTCTTCACTGTCTTGGGTGGAAAACTTTCCTTAGTCCTGGGTAAGCCACCTGGATAATGTGGGATTTACATTTAAAGATGTGAAACCAGTGCCAGTAGATTACTCATTGATTTTGGATGGAGAATGGTGCTAAGGGGAATGGAATTAGTTAGCACCTCTCTTAAATGAGATGCTTGGAGAACAGTGAATTGAATATAAAGGAATTCTTTGCAATTGTATAAATAGCCTTATTTATTTTATGTAGTGATGTGATTAACAGGTACATGTTTTATGAAGAGGTGGTTACTTTTTGTTTTCCTTAATACTCAGTAACATAAAGAGAGGCTGAAACATGAAGGACAGCAGGGGTGATTTTTCACTTCAAAGGTGATTTCCAAGCAAAGTAAATAGATTGATTTTACCCTTGAGTCTTATTTCATGCGATGTCATGAAAAAAAATTAACATCCAGGCTTGGAAAAATATTGAAAAACTCAGGAGCTATCTTTTCATTTTTCTAATTTAAGAAGAGGATAAATAAGGGAGAAAATAAGGAAATAGATAAAGAATGAGCAGGCTTCACTCCACAGGAGCCGTAAGCCTTCTAGGTGGCCATCATGTAGAGCTTAGGAATGGGTAGTCACGTCATTGCTGAATTTGTTATGGTCCACAATTTTCCCAAAAGAGAATGCTCACCTCCTCCTTGGCTTCATCTATTTTCAAATAGGCACATCTTTAGTGCTAGCAAAGATGCATTTCTGATTTTAGGAGCCTCCATTTCCATTTGATCCTGGATCCTACTGTCCAAGTTTCACCTACTGTTGATGCTTTGCTTTCTAGGGAAAAATATTTTATTTGCTTTCATGACTTATTTATGAACATTTTAGAAACAGCTACCTTTCCTTATAGGCGTCTTTGCTGCTTGTGGTGCCTACTAAGTGTCTTGCACATAGCTGAATGAATTGGAATCCAGATGATTTTATTATGCCAAGTTTGAAGTTATTTGACATGGGCTTCAATTTTTGCTGATACATGTGTTTGTGTGTTTTAATAGCAAAGTAGTGTGGGTATGTGTATGTATGTGTGTGTGTACTCAATACAGATAAATAAGCAGATGAAGAATGTGTTCGATATCTTCCATTTGATCCTCTATATCCACTCTCCACTCTTCTCCAAAGTGCTCTCTGTCCCAGAGGGATGCATATTTGAATTACATCCCAGGCTCCTCCTATGCCACTTTGGCTTCTATGTGGGTTTGGCTAATGGAGCACAGCAGCAGGAGATAGGAAAGAGTCTAGGTTCTCACCTGTGGATAGTTCAGGTAAGAACAATGTGTATGAGGGAGGAGAGAAGATCATAGGATGTTTCAGGGGAAGAAAACCCCTTGCTGATATTCTCCAGGGTGCCCTACTTTGCTGCTAGGTATTTGTGCTGCAATAGCTTGTGAAATTTTTAAAGCTAACAACAGAGAGACTGTCTGTACTCCGCATAAGGACGGATGAAGGAGAGGCCAATCAATCGATGAACAGTGTCAACTTTCCATCTATTCTGGGTGTGCCATCATGATGAGCTTAAGTTCCAGGAGGGAAACTAAAGGAAACTGTTCCTTATACCAAGTTCTGCTGAAGGGTTGCAATAAACTTGTTGAAGGAGCACTGCTCAATATTAAATACACTATTCAAAGACTTTTTAAAAACTAAGATATATGCCATACTTGTATACTCTGGAGATATTTATTTTCATTTGCAATCAAATGAAAATTTATTTTTAGGTAACCTTTAGTAATCTTATAATAAAAAGACTCTTGGGAACCCATCATATATATATAATAACAAGGAATAAAAAACATTAAGGTCAAGGAAGATTGTACAAACAATTCAGTGAAAAACCAAAAGCAAAAACAAGAAAACTAAACTTAGTTCAAGGATTATCTTCTATAAAACAAATCAAATATGGGAGACAAGCATGGGTAGTCAGAAATAGAAGTTCTGTGATTATGGTAACAAAGGGAATAGATGAGGGCCTTATGAATTGACTGAGGACCCTTATACTTGAGACTCATGAGTGGATTATAGGCAAAGAGTTGGCACAGAGATGCCCCACACCCTTGCTGTAGGAAAGCAAAGAAAATCTGGCTACCAGATACAAGTGTCTGGATAACTACCCATTGGGAAATAAATCACACATGGGAGGAAACAGCCATAACTAATTATAGCTGGGCATTCCCCAGGGCTCTCATTTTAGGCAGGACCAATTTTAACAACCTAGTATCATCTCTAATAGCAGTTATAAATGCCAACCTGGCACAGTTCTTAATGGCTACGTGGAAGGTGGAACTGAGGACTGGAAGCCCATGCAAGTCAGTGGGAAGAGTGCCATTCTGGACGGGGACATCTGCCAAGAGGTAAAGATTGAGTCTTTGGTGGTGTTTTCTTTCCTTGATGAGTATAACACAGTATTTCAATATATTAACTTCCAGGGAGAGAGGGAGCATTTAGTTTAAAATGTGTGGCTATGTCATTAATTTTCTGTTGGAATTGATTTAGATAAGGTAGAGCAGCGTTTACAAAAAACTTCTCCAAGGAGTGGCTCTTCGGCTGCAGTCCCTAACCCAGCAGGGGCTGCCGATGTGCTCACCTCAACAGGCATCTTCCCTCTCTCATATTGTTCCTTTCCCAGGCTTTGGGTTTTACATGGCACTTAAATGGAATTAAGGTGTTAAAAGGCACCTGAATATGATGAAAGGGTACTAAAAGGAGGAAAGAAGGCAATATCTATGTATATAAGGTAAGTGCTTTCACATATCTTATTTAATTCTTTCCACTATATAATATATATGTGTAAGTATGCACTATTATAGTATTTCTCACCTCTAACATGACAAAATTAAAGCTTAGATAAATTAAGCATTTCTCCCAAGGTCAGAGGATCAATAAATAATAGCGCAGGGACTAGACCTCATTTGTTTTCTTCCCCAACTTTCTATAGTCAGCATTTTTTGCTCCTATACTATATTGCCACCATTTTTACACTCAGTATGACCTCCCTCTCTTTCTCTCTTGTTTTCACTCCCATTTCACCCAAGCTCCACTTTTGCAAATTACAGTGACAGGTAAAAAGTCTGGATAAGTTTCAGATTCAAATTAAGACTTAGCTTGTAATTCAAGAGTGATTACTTTCATGCCCAGACCCTTCATCCCTGATCATCAGTATTAATGTTCATGTTCCACACAGGTGTGTCTGCAGGATTGCAAAGTAGTATGAAAAGACCTATGGGAAACCCTACTAGATCCAATAATTAATAGAAAATTGGGCTACATCAATAAAAGTAGAATATTTAGAATGGAGGAGTTAGTTCTGCCTTGTTCCCTACAAGTCTGGCCATGCCTGAGGATGATATTCAGTTTCTAAGACCTACTCTGTACAAGAGAGAGAAAGGGAGAGAGGGAACTTAGAATCCAGTAAAAATGGTCAGGTGAGTTCAAACTTGGAAACCATGTTATACACAAGAAAAACAATATAATAGTAAATAATAGCCTGGGGGATTTTTAAGTTAGAAGAAACATGTCGTGACAATGAAAACTAAGTAGTTTAAAGTATGTAAAGGGGTCTAATGTGGGAGAAGGAATAGACTTGTTCCCCTATGCTATACCAAAGGGTATAACATGAAATAATGGGGTAAGAATAACAGAAACATTGAAAAGTATCCAAAGGTTGAAAAATCCATCATTAAGCAGGACACTCCTCATACCCATAGACAATCAGGTTTGGACTGGACTAGCATTCAACTGTGCTATTGTAGAAGGGAATTCAAGCATCAGAAGGTGGTTGCACTAGATAAGCTATAGATGTCCCTTTCAACACTGAGTTTCTACAGCTTTTTGTGCCTTTACTAACTTTATAATTTCTTGTGGCAGGAAATCTTCCCAGCATAGGGCTGGAAAAAATGCTGAAACTATTTGTATTCACTGCCAATTACTTAGTAGCATCCTGCACACGGTAGGTGCCCAATAAATGTTTGTTAAAAGTCAAAATGCTCAAGTTCCCTGCATGGGGCTCAAATGTTCTATATGAGATATAGCACTGGAACTTTCAGGAAAAAAAAAAAAAAACAGTTACCTGGCAGCAGAATGAGCTGTCCAATGGGAATCTCTCCTGCTGAGTTCTGACCCCCTGCCAGTTCTAGGTGAAAATGTGCTATTATTCAGATAAAGGCAGACCACAAATCTAGTGAGTTTCTTAGCATGCTGAGAACCTGGGAAATTAGTTCTGCATATTGAGGACTTGCATTTTCCTCATTTACCTATCACTTAAAGCTTCTTCTGTCACACTATAAAACTAGGTGGAAAAAATATACTTCTTCCGCCAGTGTCTCAGTTCCCCCTGGGCTGAGATCAGAGAGAAAAGTGAACAGCAATGTGAGGGGAAATGATGCTTAAGACAGAAATCTGGATGCAGGGGGAGAAGGAGAAACCAGTTTATCCCCGTTTAAAGATTTCCTTAACATGTAATTTCCTTCTTCTTACCTGCAGGTAGTTTTATAAAAGTGCACATTTAACTTCCAGGGTAAATATGAAGCTTGAAACTTCAACTCTGTACTGAAGCTACTGTTCATGCGGCATAAATTAAATGAGGGGAAAATGGAGAGTGATTTGTTTTTCTTCTGGAATAAGACCCCAGTACTCCTCCAAGGTTGTGTGAAAGGCTGAGGAGTCTGTGGTACAAATACTTTAATTAGCTGACAGCAGGTGGGATGAATTACATTTGATCTCTGTTCAAGATGCTTGTATAATAAAGGATTTAATTGTTTCATTTATTTACAGTGGATGGATGAAGGAGGAGGCTATCTCAAGAATTTGTTCATTTAAAGCAGTGATTGCAATATTGTTTGGAAAAGTGGAGTATGACACCAATGACATTGTAGAGAAAGTGTGTGGGGGCCTTCAGACTCTGAGGATTCTCTGTACTTTTGTCCTTCTACCTGGTTGTGGAGTTGACATGGCACCATCTTACACCTCAAGAACTTCTATTCCCTGTTAAAAAACTTTTTAATGCCATCTTATGAGATAATCTCCAAGATCCTCCCCATGGCCTTCAAATGCCCTAGCTGGCTCCCCAGCCTCAGCCTCCCCTCTTTTTCTGGTATATTGTGCTTCAGTAGCACATGACTGCTGGAAAGTCTCTGGTGAAATCACATTCGTTCCCTCTGAATTTCTGTCATCCCATCTCTAAAGAATGTTCTTAAGCTGGGTGTGGTGGCTTACGCCTGTAGTCCAAACTACTCAGGAGGCCGAGGTGGGAGGATCGCTTGAAGCCAAGAGTTTGAAACCAGTCTGGGCAACATAGTGAGACCCGATCTCTACAAAACAAAGCAAATAAAAAAAAAATGTTATTTCCCTCTCTCTTCCCCAAGAATTTTCTTCTCTTTTCCACTCACCCTCCCTGCCTTGTCCAGATGAGTAGCGGTTCATCTATGCTCCCATACAAGCCCGAAGTATTCTATCAAAGTATTTCTACCACGTCATCACATGTATCTGTTTATGTGTTCACTCCCCATTAGATGATGAGTTCCTTGAGAACAGGTTCCAATATCTTATTATGACTGTGTCCCCATCACCTAATACTTAGGACAGAACAGGTGTTCATTAAATGCTTGTTCAATGAGTAAATGAAAATATGTTTTCTTCTATTATTTCAACAGTGTTATAGTAAAAACAATTTTTTTTAGCAAATATTCAAGTAAGGCAGCTGTAAATAAACCACACACTCACACATGGCTAATGTTTCGGGGACAAAAATGCCACTAAGAATTAAATTGCGGAGTAGGAGGTTTGGACACATGAGCTATCCAATATAACTGCATGTGTTTAACATTTCACTTAATGGTAGCTATCATCCAAAATGCCACTTCTCCCTACCTATATGATGGTTGAGAGAACCTGGCCATTTATTTAGGTACATTCAAAGAGGAGGAAGATGTCTTGCACTACCAGATATGATTGTAGGCTCCTAGCCTCACAAACACCATTATGCATAGATACAGCCTGGGGATCCTATAAAAATGGTGATTCTGATTTAAAAGTTCTAGAGCAGTATTTGAGACTTTGTGAATCTAGCAGACTCCCTGGTAATGCTGCTGCTGCTGGCCTTTAGAACTCATTTTCATTGGTAAGGACAGAAAGCATCTCAACTCCATGCAGAGTAGGCAACTTGCAGGGAACTGAATGCCAAAGTATTTATTCCTGTGCCCGTAACTATACTGACAGTTTCTGCCACCCTATACTAGCATCTAAGTGGATTTAAGTTAAATGTTTTTCCTCATTGTTTGATGATCAAGTATTTTTCATGATTAAACTAAGTTTTGAATATTATATAGTGGTTTTTTTCTCATAACTTTAGGAATTTTCATTTTTTATTGTTTTATGTTATATTATTTGGCATTGTTATTTTTTGGTACCAAGCCCAGGTTTCTGACCTGTGAGCCACAGAGGTAGCCTCCCTAGACTTACAATGACAAATCCAACATTAATAACCAGTCTTAGCAATGTTTGGGGAAAAGTCCTGTTAAATATAGAAATCTAGGCGGAAATTATCAAAAAATAATAATATGCAAGATTATAAAGGAAAAGAGACTTCAACAAGATAAAAATAAACCTTGGGGCCGGGCGCGGTGGCTCACGCCTGTAATCCTAGCTCTCTGGGAGGCCGAGGCAGGCAGATTGCTCGAGGTCAGGAGTTAAAAACCAGCCTGAGCAAGAGCGAGACCCTGTCTCTACTATAAATAGAAAGAAATTAATTGGCCAACTAATATATATAAAAAAACAAAAATTAGCCGGGCATGGTGGCGCATGCCTGTAGTCCCAGCTACTCGGGCAGCTGAGGCAGAAGGATTGCTTGAGCCCAGGAGTTTGAGGTTGCTGTGAGCTAGGCTGACGCCACGGCACTCACTCTAGCCTAGGCAACAAAGCGAGACTCTGTCTCAAAAAAATAAAAAAATAAAAAAAATAAATAAAAAAAATAAACCTTGGGAAATATAAACCAGATCTGGATCAATCAAAACAACAACAACAACAACAAAAAAAAACTATTGAAAAGGAAGTCTAAGAGGCAAATAAAATCCAAATGTTTAGAAGGTTGATGCTTAGAGATAAAAAAAAATACTCAAAATTAAATATATGAGGACAGAGGCCAAGAAAAATAATAAGAAACAAATTAGGTTGATTCAATTTTCACAGAGTTTTAAAACAAAAAAAATCATAATACTACAAAATAGAAAAAAAATAATGCAGTGGCTACACACCTGTGCTACCATCATCAGACACTGAAGCTTTTCTAAGTGCATTATGTACCTTCTCTCACTTTATTCTCTTGACAGCCTCATGGGGTAGGTACTTATTAAGGCTAGATGACTAGAAAAGATTGCAACTAAACTGCCATTTAAAGACTTGGATTCAAGGATAAGCTCTGCCACTGCCTGACCGGGAAATCCCATAGCAACTTTCCTAGGCCTTGACTTCCTTCCCTGTACAATCATTGGAATCAGTGGTTCCAAATTTTTTGTAGATTATTAGCCTCTTAAAAATGTGATAAAGTACAATGAACTCTCTCACCAAGAAACAAAAAGAATATACATACACAGTGTTACCTATGGTATAAGGAGGTTCATGGCCAGGTCAGGAGGTCTCAGACTTGTGATTGTCAAGATCCATTCCAATTCTGAGATCCCATGTGTCTTGGATACTTACATCCAGCAATTAAAAAACCAGAATATCCTAGATAGGGGTTGGCAAACCATGGCTTATAGGGTGAATCTAGTCCACTGCCTGTTTTTGTAAATAAAGTTTTATTGGAATAAAAAAAAAGGTAACTATATACGTTAAATAGTCCTTCCTGGGACTCTGTAATGAAAATAAGAATTCCTCAGTTTATAATTTTAACTTTTATTGAGCAACTAACTAGAAAGTGGCTTCCTAAGGATATTACATTATATTATTTAATTTTTATAACAAGCTTATGTGTTAGGAATGACTATTATTTTCATTTTACTGATGAGGGAACTGAGGTTTAGTGAAGTTAAGTAACTATCCAAAGTCACCCAACAAATAAGAAACAGAATCAGGACCTTAAGTCCTCCTTATACCTCCTTATACCAGGACCTTAAGTCCTCCTTGTTTGGATTCCAGTTTTATAATATATATTTTTTAAAAGACTGTATCATGCTACACAACCTGTTGCACCCAAGTTTCTTTAGCTATAAGTGATATCGATAGATCAATCAGCATTTCATAGAAGTTATACAGTTTATACTCCATTCAAAAGAGAATGAGAGTCCCTGTGACTTTAATTCTAACAGTTTAATTTTCTCTAATTTTGTGTTTTTAATTTGCTTTCAATGGTTAATGATGAGATTGAATATCTTTTCAAATGTTTATGGAACATTTTCATTTTGTCATCTTGGAAGCTTCTGCTAACTGATTTTTTTCCATTTTTTAATTGGATTTCCTTTTTTTTTCTGTTTTTGATTCACAGGAATATTTAAATATACCATACACTAATCCTTTGTTGGTTATATGTATTGCAAATCTTTCAAGTTTTAAACATTTTTTATTCATTCTCATTATGGTGTCTCTTAGTAAAGAGAAATCACTCTATATTTTCCTTTATGTTTGGTGCTTTCTGTATCTTTTTAAATAAATCTTCCTATTATCTTTCTGAATTTGGTTTTTGTGTGGATGTGAGGTAGAGATCTATGACATATATTTTCAGAGTCTCACCCATATTCTTTAACCCTACCCAGAGCTCACCCAGAGCTTCAGGGAAGAAGAGTCCTATCTTTGGCTTTTTTTCTTTCCCTATTTCATTTCCCAGCTCACTGGCTTGCTTGCTTAGACCCTCTCCCAAATAAATACTTTCACATAAGTTCTCGACTCAGGTTTGTTTTTTTCAGTAATCGAAAATGTCCTAGAATGCAGACACTCAGGATGAGATTCTATAACTAGATCACTTACCAGTCAGATGGCAAAGGGTTTCTTTTGCTGTAATAAGTGCAGTGTCAATGAGCATTGTGTGGGGCAGCATCACATTTACCAAGACTCTCATCTATGGTGAATTGGGAGGAAGCACAGGTAAAAGAAAAATACTGACTTATATTAATACAAAGTACCAACACTTGATAAATATATGAGGGTACTGGTAATCAGGATAGTGAAGTTAGCTGAGTTCTGTTTGGTTGTTTGTTTGTTTGTTTGTTTGTTTGTTTGTTTGTTTGTTTTTGGAGAAAGGCAGAAGACCTCTACTGCATGTTTAAGGAGACCCTCATCTCCTGCAGCCAGAAGGCAGAATGTGCTGAAAATCAGAATTGACCTTTGATGTAAGGATGGAAGGAGAGAAAAAGAAGCTGATTTAGTAGCCATAGCAAGTCTTCTACATTAAATGTTGGGTCCCGATTAGGAAGAAATGGGACTATGAGGTCTGGGATGCAGATATTTAAAAAAACTTGATTTGCCAGAATACTCTGAACCCTGTAGGCTAGGAGATGACCTCTTCCTCTCACCAAAGAAGAGCAGACTTCCATTACCTAGATATCATGAAAAGCTGATGTCTCACAACATGAGTTTATTCTCTTCAATACAAAACAATTAAATAAAATTCAATATGATACAATAAGTTCAATGTCTTATGACATTGAACTTATTGTATCATATCTAGATTATATCTGGATTCCAGGAGCCAGTCTGACATACTGCTGGAATGGTACCTTGTAGCTTGGAAATGATGCTTCCAAAGCAGCAGTTCTCAAAGTGTGATCCACAAATCACTATGGATCTTAAAAATCTTTCAGGGAGTCTTCAAGATCAAAGTATTTTCAAACAAAGATTTTTTTTTGCCTATTCTACTTTATTGACATTTTGAAATTGAAATAATAAAAAATCAAGCCAAATTTCTAGAGCTGAATAACTCAATTGAAAAACTGGAAAATGCATTAGAGTCTCTCAACAGCAGAATTTATCAAGCAGACAAATTAGTGAACCTGAAAATGAGCTAAATGAAAATACATAGAAGAGAAAAAAAGAATAAAAAAGAATGAAGCATGCCAACAAGATCTAGAAATAGCCTCAAAAAGGCAATTCTAAGAGTTATTGGTGTTAAAAAAGAGGTATAGATTGGGGTAGAAAGTTTTTTCAAAGAAATAATAACAGAGAGCTTTCCAAACTAGAAAACAATGCCAATATTCAGATACAAGAAGGTCATAGAACGCCAAGC